ACCCTTAACTTTTGTTGTAACCAACGTATTAATTATTTGATCTCGTTAGTTAGTTACCTCGCGATGTGGGTTATGCGGTTAACTGACCATCGCCATAGTTACCTTGCTTCGACAGCTACGTCTCCCGGCAAAACGGCTTTTGAGACATCCAACATTCTGATGCGCAAGGACGGCCAGCGGAGTACGTATTATATTTAGGCCAGGCTGCTGCTGCTGCGCCTGGATCTTCAGCCAACTAATAAACAAACCCCTGACGCAGCTGCCTTGGTACATCCCATAGATGGCCTGATAACTAGTTATGGCCGAGGTCAGAGACATACATCCACAGTCTTACTTGCACTGCCGTGAGCATGCTCGGTGTTTGTTCACAGAGCAGGGCTCAGCTTCTGTAGCAAAACACATGCCTGCCACCGCCGACGTACGTGCTCTGTAATGGGAGTGTGATAATGACGACGGAGGCCAGCCTCCTCGAGGACACACTGCCCAGCAACGATGCCAGGGATGCATCACTATACTTGCCCAAACGGGCTATCAATAGGGAATAAAATTTCGAATGGCGTCCTGCTCCTCGTCCCGGCTGTACCGAGTACTAGGCCTGTCCTAGGGAGTCCTTGCCTGTAACCAGAGAGGCCGAAAAAGCAGCTCAGAGCCCGTCAACATTCTTGTACCATGCGAGAAACATACATGCAAGTCACTACACTGAGCAGGAGGGACGCATCTATGTGCTGGCGCCGCTTGCCAACGCTGGCAGTCAGAATAGTGTTCAGTCAGGGAGAAGGGGGGAATGCAGCGACAATTTATATATACGAAATGCGAGCAATACACACGCTGTCCACCAGCAGATCAGTTCCGTCAGAGTTTACTTTCCTGCGATGCATTGAATTTTCGCGCCTGGGAGAGAGAGTATGACTACAAAGGGAGCAGCTCGACAAGGCCGAAACCAAAAAGCAAATGCTTGTCCCTGGACATGATGGACGAGGAGACTGTTAGATAGGGAAATGTTGCCCGAGTAACCGCCCTGCAATGAACCTGGGTGGCAGCCAGTAAGGTACATTCTGCAGGCCAACAGCAGAAGAACAAAGGGACAATGCCTGTAGGATCACAGTGATTGGGGCAATAAATTACAGCCTGGGTACTGTCCGCTCTTCCCTGAGCGGTGTTCCCGTACTGCAGGCTAATTTGATGCACCCATTCCTGCATTACATACTGTGAGATGCACGTTCCCGTGCCAAAAACGACTGCCAGGGAGAAGGCTCAGCAATGACGGTGATTAGTCAAGGCGATATTTGGCTTTCTCGCTGAAGGATACGGCAATGCAACGATAATTAATGCGAGCAAATTACAGCCCGCCGAGGGCGGTTTTGTTCATGCGGCCGTCGGGCCCCCACTGCCCACTCGCAGCAGCAACACCAGGGATTCACGATCGCCAGCGTCATCGACAGAGAGGCTGGCAGAGTGGCAGGGAGGAGTTGTCTGTATCAGAGCGAGACAGGACGCCCTCTGTTGGCTGGTGAAATCAGGAAGCGGAGGGCTGGTGACAGCCATTGAGTTGCATCGGCAGAGGGGAAGGGAACAAACGTACCGAGTAGCTCTCTCGACCTGGGCGCTTAGAGAGGAGTGCGCAAGCCGGAAGCACCTGGCCAAGGGGGTTCTTACGTATGTATAGTTAATACTCTATACTTATCTCCTATTAACCGTACATCCTTGAGGAGCGAAGGAAACCTGAGGCACAAGGCTTTTCAGACCAGGAAGACCCGAGGATACGCCTTCCCCTCCCCAGATTCAGCAAGTGAAGAGAGGCGACCATAGTCGAGGATTGTAAATTCGACCACAGGGCAACAATATCCTCTGCCTTCCTGTTGGTTTCCGCTGTGATGGATGAACGAGCAGATGATACCCTCATTTTCGCCATCCCTGGCCTGGAAGCGAACCTCTTATATTCCGGTACCAGGCAGCTAGGCTGCTTTTGAGATGCCTCTCGATCCGATCGCTTTGTTCGCCTTTCTTGCCTGAGGGCGCCGTGTCTGGTCACTTTGTATGTATGTGGTCTGAACAGTTGCTAAGCAGCAAGTCTAGATATGCGGGAGCAAGCCCATCTATCACATCATGACCCCGGTCGACAGCCAATCAGCTGCTGCAGACGGCCTGCGACCTCAGGTTAGCGCCCAGCAAGGGAGACAGCGGCCCCCTTCGCCCCCCGTCCCCTTGACCATTAGTTGGTGATGGGGTATAGATACGGCTCCGCAACGGCAGGCCTCTGCTTTACAATACGCGGTGATAAAATACGACGAGAGAAAAGCCCCCCGAGGGCGTGAGGCCTGGTCTTGTTGGTCGCAGAGTGCTTCTTCTTCACTTCTATCCAACAAGAGGCCGATGACGGGAGGCCCAAGAAAAGCCACCGAGTATCGATTGGCGCTAGGATATGCAGCTAAAATAAATCGATTTCGTCACGCCCATCCCGCCCCGTCCATTTGCTTTCCTCAAACCATTCGTCTTGCTGCGGCCCTCGCTCTATTCCCCATATAACACGGATGTGATGCAGGCAGAGTACTCCATACAATATACTGGCCTATCCTGCGCCGGAAGAGGGTATATACATCCAGTGTACCTCATGCATGCACCCTGCATACACAGAAGAACTTGTCACAGCCAGTGTACCCTCGTTATTCTTCAGGCTATGTATGAGTATGTACTCCGTAAATATGTATGAACGGACGGATATGCTGCTCCAGGTCGTTTCCACCTCAGGACTGCCCGTACCATATACATATACATATACCTATACTGGAGGTTACTATGCTGCACGGAGCGTCTAAGCATGATATTTACATATTGCCTTCTAGTGCCGGGGGGATCCCTCCCCTGCAAGTGGTTATAAGCGAGAAGAAACAGTGATATTGATCTCTGCTATCTGCTAGCCACCTTTTTTTTAAAAAAAAAATTAAAGAGAGAGAGAGAGGGAGAAGGAGAGAAAAAGAAAAGATTTTGCAAAAGAAGTGCACTGACCAAAAGAGTACAAGTGTGTACGGTGTGGTACACACAAACGATACTCTGATTGCTGGAGGTTCGCAGAATGGGACGTTTCTTTTTGGCAACAGAGGATCCAAAGAAGAGGAGAAGGATGAGCGGACTGGGAACTGGCTGTTTCCCCAAGCGCCGTCTTCTTGTTATATTCCCGCCGTCTCCCACCATCTACCCTCCATCAAGCAGAGAGCGAGAGAGAGAGAGAGAGAGATCTGGTTTCACCCTGGTGTGAAAGAGCCATCATATCACACTCGCTAGACAAGGGTTCCACCCCTACCCTAGAACTCTATCTCACTTTCAATACGATACGGATGTGCATACGATGATGTATCAAGGGCTGCATCTTCATACGAATTCCTAAAAAAAGATATATATCCTCAACCCCCATCACGCAGCTGGCCCCCCTCCCCGCCCCCTTCCATCGAACATTCGATTGCAAACGGCGGCTGGAGTCGACAAACGCTCGTCGTGGAATCTGATATATTCATATCTAGAGAGAGGCTCCTTCCTTTCTTTTCTCTACCGTCTCACGCCGTCGATTGCTGTTCAACATACAATACCCCTTCAGTACCCGGATTTAGAGAGTATAGAATCGGCCCGGTGGCAGTTGACCTGCCTCGATTATCCACAGTAGTTAAACAAGGCGAAGATATATCTATACACATGTCAACGTCTACCTGATATCGAGACAAGAAGCCTTTGCTGCCGGCCGCCCTTTCTGCTCTTTCTCTTTGGACCCTGCATCATGGTAAGTCAGCTTGTCAGAACCCGTGTTACACTTATTAATGATCTCGTAGGACTACACCTACATTCCGCCCTTACCTCAGGGTAGCATTCAGATGTTCCCTCCGGTTAATAACAATCAGACGATGGACTACATGATGAGACGCTCGTCTTTCAACTCTCGGCCTCTATCTGAAGCAACGGAAATTCAAGATCTCGACTATGAGGTTGAGTATTCCGAACCTGAGTCGCCACGGCGAAGCATAGAATCAGTAAGTGTACATATCAACCAAGTATCTGTATGGGAACCTTGCATTCACTAACACTCGATCATCCAGTTTGGGACTGACAGCGCTACTACTCTCTCGCTCTCAGATGAGCCTCCAACTCCTGGTCCCTATGAGGCCAGGGCCTTTGAGCTTCCATCACGAAACTTAAGTAAGCCAGTACAAGGGCCATCAGGCCCTCATCTATTCAGGGGCTCTATGGATAGCACAATGCTCGAAAAGCCGGCAGTCGAGGAATGGCAATTGTCGATGTCTCCAGTTTCTCTTGAAGATATCAAAGTCCCAATGTGGGCGCCACAGGAACGAAGATCTTCTGAGCCTGCCCAAATTCCAGAGATACCAAGGACATCTACAAGAATGTCGCACCAGAAACAAAACAATCCGTCGTTTGTCCAAAATTGGACCCCAACCCAAGTGGCCGAGTGGATGTACGAGGTTGGTGTGGAGGACAGCATGGTCGAACGCTTCATTCAAAACGACATCTCCGGCGCCGTCCTTCTCGACCTACACATTGATGACCTTAAGGAATTAGATATTCAGTCCTTTGGCAAGCGTCACTACCTTATGAACATGATCCAGACCTTAAGGAACGCTACTGACCCTAACTCCATACCGGAACTTGCACGGGTTAACTCTTCAATGTCAAACAGCCCCCCGCTGGCAAAGGCCGACTCCCCCGAGTGCACGACGTATGCGTCTCCTGATGGCGGTGCTAGGCATAGCCCGCCCGCCCCCAAGAGACGCGGACGCCGCAACCGTGTCATTTCAGAGGAAGACATAATATCTCCCGCCGAATCCGTTTCCATTGTTGCTATAGAGCAGCTTCTCCCTAAGCCCCACAAGTGTTCCAAGGGAGAGAACTGTTCTAAGTACCAAAAGAGACAACGGAAGCTCGCCCGGATTGCAAAACAGTTTCCTAACGAGTTTGCCCTCATAGATGGTGAGCTTGTGGCAACCACAAACCAAGTTGTGCCTCCAACTCCTGCCATGACCCAGATAAGCCGAAAATCTGACGCCGCTCCCTCTCTCGTTGCTTCCTCCGATGTGCTCGGCCCGGGCCTGCTTCCAGATCTACATCCCGAACTACAACTAAATGCTGAGAATCTGAACGGAGTTCGACCACGAGACCCGCAGGAGAATGTCCGGCAGTTTCTCACTTTCCAGCATATGCATAGCCCTGACCTTAATTCGGCTTCGACAAATCAGCCCCTGGAAATGTTTCCGCCTCTGCCTTCTCAGGAACAGCCCGTCCATGTATCCAACCAGCTTCGCTCTCTACCAAAACTTACTATTCCAAATCAAACTCAATCTGTCAGCGATCCTGCGTCTGCTCTGCGCACTGTCACCCCTTCCATGGGCGCTCGAGTTGTGAATTCACCTACTGCGACCCAGGAATACAACCCATACGCCTTTGATGATAACAACACATATCGTCATGGAACTCCATTTTCCGAGATGGATGTTCCCATCACCGCCGTACCCGTTGAGCCTTTAGCCAGAGAAGCATCCCAGTCCGTTCCTCCAGGTATGAGATACGGAAATATCCCAACACGACAGCACCAGACTCCCGAGCCCCCTGTCCGCTCGAGATCAACCAGGCCTGAACGCCATCGCCGACACCCATCTGTCAATACCATGACCCCTTTGCATGAGATCGAAAGCCTCCCACCAATCGAGAACCCCTCGGACATGGACGCTGCCACCAAGCCTCAGCCACCCGTCAGCCAACAACCTGGTTCCACAGTATCCTCCTCATCCTCGTCAACACAAAAGGATCCAGATGTCACCCACAGCGGGTGGATGAAGAAACGCAGAACTACTCGCCTCCTTCGACATGAATGGCAAGATGCGCACTTCACACTCAAAGGAACCATTCTTGCCATGCACAAGGATGAGTTTGATACCCACCGCCACAGCAGGGCCCTCGAATCCATTGATGTGGATGACTATGCCGTTGCCTGCTCCTCTCTTGCATCCAACTCCAAGCTTACTGCAGCCTTCAAGCGCTCTGTTCTCCGCAAGGCCGCAAACCTCAACAACAACTCATACAAGGGCATGGACGAAACAGCCTTTGCTTTCTCCTTGATCCCCGCAACAAAGCCCACCGAGCGCAAATCAATCTTCACTGCTAATGGCAAAAACCACCATTTCGCCGTCAAGACTCGGGATGAGCGAGTCAATTGGATGCGTGAACTTATGCTCGCCAAAGCTCTGAAGAAGGGAAAAGAAGCAGGAAACGAGATCAAGATGAACGGAAATTTCATCTGATCTTCGCAATTTCTGCATTACTCTCTTTATTTTCCATCTCCTTGGTCAAATTTACCTCAACGTAATGTATATACCCGTTCCCTCACCTTCGTTGCATTACGACTTCCCTGTCTCTTTAATCCCAATCGACAAGTGTAAGCGTCACCCTGGCACATCCGGCATGTTTGTCAAGGGGCGTCACAATACATCCTTCCACATTCCCTCCTCCCCTCTGCTCCTCTTTCTTGATTACATTTTTATTTTTCACCCTTTAACCTTTATACACCCTACTATGCTAGCCTGTTGACGATTTTCCTTGATTTTCCCACTCTCCAATTTTATACTGTCTTACATACCCCATAGTAAACTTCTTGTTATTTCCCTTGTTCAGCCATGTGTAATGTTTTTAAACTGATTCCCCTGCTTGTTTTTCACTTCTCCGTTCTTTTTTCACTTTGTTTATTCTCGCATCGAAGCATTGGAGCACGATACCTTTTTGATATCTTAACGGCCTTTTTCAATGTCAGGATAGGTTAGGAAACTTTGATGAGTAGGATAGTATATAGGATAGCCCACGCAATACAAAATAAAATTATACAACAACCCTTCTATTAAGTGCCCCTATTATTGATTTACGATGTTGAGTGTTTCATGTTACAGCGAGCATCCCAGGAGTTATCTTTGGTTTTGTGATGCGTTCAAGTAGAGTCATTGGAGACATTAACCGGCCGGGCTATTCGTACTTTCGCTAAACCAATGTTTGAACATCTGACCATTCAACCTTTATTGACAGAGTAGTTGAGAGTATGGTAGACCGACCATTTTCTAGCATCAGTCTGAGGTGCGATGTGAAGCGCCAGTAGAGGATGTATGGCTAGCCTTTAAGAAGATATAGACCGCATTGCGATGTTCAATAAAATAATTCCAATGAATTAGATATTACGCATGCCGTATCACCTAGCATTCGGTGATTTACAATGTTCAGTCATACAGATCATAGACCTATAGCATATGGATGCTGCAATGCTCATGCTGGCAATTCTGTTA